TTGGATTGCTTACACACAATACTGTGTAGAAACCTTGACTGTCTTGAGTACTCCACATGACAATGCAGGAGGTTTGAACGCCCTTGTCCCAACTGTACTACTATGTATGTAAGTGTCTATATGTCTGTTTTCACTATCAACCTATGTCTATATACACTAAATAAACAATTGCGGTTTATTAACTTACGTCTATATTTTCGGTTCTTAAGTTAATATTGCTGCTTCACTAATTTATTCATCACCCTACTCTCTAAAGCGACTTTGACGCAAACCTGTAAAAGTCGCTAACCAAAATAAATATCATTCCCACTCCACCTCCTCGCCCTCACTATTAAGATGTACTTACACCTCTCAATGAAAGCTGAGCATCTGTCATTGTAAAGGCGATACCTTTATAATGTCTACATCACCATGCACGATAATAACGATGATATGATTCTTGTTACAAACATCAATAACGACTACATCTTCTACTGAACCCACCCACCGCTCCGGACCCCCCCTACTAAAACAGACAGTTTGGACAACTGCTGATGATGATTGCTATGCTGTTATTTTCGCCTAGTATACTTTTGTTCTTGTAACACAAGCAAAAATAAGCAATCTTACCACGAAACTCAAGACAACCTTCTGAAAAAAACATGGTGCCCATATAACTAAACTAATTTCCATCTTCATCTAGGGCTTAAGGGTCGAATAACACTACACCAGTATTTCGTCATTTACTGGCCATAAAGAATTTGAACTGCCAATTATTTCGTATTTTGTCAGCTGTTTAGCGTGCAGAAACTTTCTGTTAAAATTCAAACTCGACTAATGTTCACCATTAAGGAATCAACATTGCTTCCAGGTTCTTGTGAGTTTGGGTTAGAGCTGTCAAACTCATCCTGTGCTTTCTTGCTCTCAGATAACATCTACTTCCTAGAACACCCTTGTGCTTACTGCTCTGTGGAGACTCCATGTTAGCCCTACTTGCTCCATACTGTGGTGGTGGAGTGGCTGAAATAGGAGGTGGAGCCCCCGCATTGCTTATACTCCAATGGCATGCCTCCTGTAATGGGGAAATCATACAACACATCTTTAATCTCTGTATCAACCAGCTGATCAGTAGAGGAAATACGTTGATTGCTGTTAGGGGTCTAGAGATGCTTTCTTATCTACTTCTTTCATCCAATGTGTCCCACCGTCGTCTCTCTTGATGACACGGATTTTTAGGGCATGAGGCCTTTTTCTTTCATTGTTGTCTTGATACAGCTTTTCCCATAATCTCATTTCTGCTGCTGGTGGGTTGGGCCAACTCCTTGTCCCAGGCCTCTGGCTGAGAGGCAGGAGAAACACTTTTGGCACTACAGAGATGAGTTGTTTATTCATCAGTGTCACATCTGCTTTCCCTTCTCTGTTTTACGTCATCATCACTTTCACTAACTGCAGGAGTCAGGCGGAAGGGAAGTTCTGGCTCCGCAGTGGACAACCTGCTGTGGGGATGATGAGCCAACATCCAGATGTCCTCCTTGGGATGGTCAGATAGACAGCTGACGACCAACACCAGCCATTCAAACTCAGGTCTGGCAGGTCCACAGGTGATATGGAGTTGTGTTGCTCCAGATCCTTTTCCTTTCTACCCCCAACTCCTTACTGATAACTCTCTTTGTGGCAGTTTGCCTCCTTTGCCACTGAAGGAGACAGAATTACCTGGCGGCAGCGAAGCTTTTCATAATAACACGCTTGTAGTGATTAGAGAGTCATTATCCTGTCATTGCTGATATGTTGACAAAAGTCTGCCTTTGGTTTGCAGTGGATCCTATCGCCTCATTTTCATCTCAGCTGCTGGAAGATGGACTCCTTGATGTTATGGTGCTTTACATTCAGACGCCTCTTAATGCGTGGGGACACCTAAGATCAGGTCAGGAACACTGGAGGTCTATTCTTCTCATTCTCATATTGCTGCTGCGCAGGCACTTGCTCTTTGTTTCGAATCGGTACTCTGATATCCAGAGACCGGCTTGACACGGGGGAAACTCAAATGAAGGGCCTGCACAAGGTCAGATGCCTCCTCCTACTTTTGGTATTTGGCTTTTGACGCTCTACCCTGGCCGTCCACTCGAACCTCCTCAGGGTTTTTTTTTTTTTTTCTGGCTTTGTGGCGGACGGTTGCGACTTGACAGCTTGGGCCACCATACAGAGACGGTCTGACCTGGATACTCCACGCTCCCCTTCTCTCTCGTCTTGTTCTGTACTTTTTACTCCCAGTCCTTTCACTGCGAAGAGGGAAGCAGATCTCAGGTGGAGTAATGAGGAAAGATTTGCGTGGTTACGTGTAAGTGGTAGATTTTCTAGGCACGCTTTCTGCAAGCGGGACGATGCCAAGATCATTGCTGGCCCAGCCGACTCAACGTTCTGGGTTATCCGCTGGTGTTGGTCGTTCATGTTAGCACTTTTGTCCTCCTGTTCCCCCTCTATGCATCTGTGATAAACCTGTATACTTTTCTATTGGATATTGTAGTCAGTCTTTGACTGCGAGAAATGTTATCCTGCGGGACTTTGCCGATATAATTAATTGCATTGTCCTGTCATCTTTGATATGCAGATAACTCCCAATGCTATTTTGTATGTCCCTGCGCTATCCTCAGTGACTGTTGCTTCTTGTGACTGGTCACCATTGGTAATTGAATACTGAGTTGGACGCTGAGTTCCTCTTGATATCTAGACGCCTCTTGATGCGCATAGTATGCTTTAAGATCGAAGCAGCACTGTGTTTGTGAGTCATGGTTAGCAGTCTGAGACTCTTTGCTTGGAGGCTTGCCATGTTTACTATGCCCTTGAACCTGTTATTTGAGGTGGATTGTTTGTTTCATCTCACTGTCACTACCACTGAGATGAACTCTCAGTACTTGGTGATGGTGCCTTGATTATCTAGACGCCTCTTGATGCTGTCGTTTGCCTGAGATCAAGGCAGGCCACTGTGTTTGTGGATCACGGCTTACCAGTCTGTGACACTTCTTACTTGGAGGGGGTTGCCAATCTTATATGCCTTGTGCTGTATGCTCGTTATAGTGATGTTGTTTCATCTCACTGTCACCTATTGGAAGACGAACTTTCAGTTCGATGGTGCTTGATATCTGACGCCTCTTGATGCGCATAGTCGGTTTAAGATCAACAACAGACCATTTTTGTGTCTGGGATCGTGACTTTGTGTTTCAGAAACCTTGGAATTTGGTTCTGTAATATCCACCTTCTCTAGCCTCTCTGTGTGGACTGTTTTGTTTCATTCTCACTGTACTACTCGAAGATGAATCGAAGCAGCGGGAGAGTAGTGCTTTTGATATCCAAACGTCTCTTGATGCTTGTAGTTTGCTTGAGATCAAGGCAGGCCCACTGTGGTTGTGGGTCCATGGTTTACAGATTGAGACCACTCTACTGTCGGAGTCCTGCCATTTTTATATGCTCTTTTCCCTGTATCTTTATAGGGATTGATGGTTCATCCTCACTATCACTACTGGAAGACGAACTTTCAGGTGGTGATGGTGCTTTGATATCTAGACGCCTCTTGATGCGCATAGTCGGTTTAAGATCAACAACAGGCCATTTTGTGTCTGGATCGTGACTTTGTGTTTCAGAACCTTGGAATTTGGTTCCTGTAATATCCACCTTCTCTAGCCTCTCTGTGTGGACTGTTGTTTCATTCTCACTGTCACTACTAGAAGATGAATCAGAAGCAGGGTAGAGTGCTTTGATATCCAAACGTCTCTTGATGCTTGTAGTTTGCTTGAGATCAAGGGCAGGCCACTGTGGTTGTGGGTCATGACTTACAGGTTCAGACACTTTACTCTCAGGTCTTGCCATGTTAATAGGCTCTTGCCCCTGTTTCTTGATATTGATTGTTGTTTGATCTTCACCATCACTACTTGAAGATGAATCAGAAGCCAGGGAGGGGGCTTTGATATCTAGACGCCTCTTGATGCGTGTAGTTTGCTTGAGATCGAGGGTAGGCCATAGTGGTTGTGGGTCATGGCTTGCAGTTTGAGACACTTTACTTGGAGGCCTTGCCATGATTATATGCTCTTTCTCTTGGTTCTTTCGGTGGATTGTTGTATCCTCCTCACTGTCACTACTGGAAGATAAACCTGTAGTTGGCGATGGTGCTTTGATATCTAGACGTCTCTTGATGCGCATAGTTTGTTTGAGATCAAGCGCAGGCCACTTATTGTCTCGATCATGACTTTGTGTTTGAGAATCTTGAAATGTGGGTTCTGTAATATTCACCTTCTCTAGCCTCTCTGTGTGGCCTGTTGTTTCATCCTCACTGTCACTCCTGGAAGATGTTGGCGACGGTGCTTTGATATCTAAACGTCTTTTGACGCGCATAGTATGTTTGAGATCAATTGCAGGCCAGCTTTTGTCTGGATTGGGACTTTGTGTTTGTAACTCTTGAAATGGAGGTCCTGCAGTTTCCACCTTCCCTGGCCTCTCTGTGTGGTGTATTGTTTCATCCTCACTGTCACTACTGGAAGATGAATCAGAAGCAGGTGAAGGGGCTTTGATATCTAGACGGCTCCTGATGGTTGTAGCATGCTTGAGATCGAGGACTGGCCACTGTTGTTGTGTGTCTGTATCATGACTTTCTGTTTGAGATTCTTTTATTTGAGGCCTTGTCAAATGCGTCACTCTTTGCTTCTGCTGGTTTGTGGTTCCTGCTTCACTCTCACTGCTTGAAGAAGATGAATAAGCTTCAGGTGGTAAAGGTGCACCAGTATCTAGACTCTTGCCGTGACTGGTAACAGACAAACTAGGTACACGCCCTTTTTTGAATGTGTAATCCTCACCATCACTGTAACTGGATTGAGAGGAAAAGGAGCCCTGAGGTCTCAATGTAGGCCATTGTTTATCAAATCTATTGTCACCCTGATTCAAGTTGAGTGAAGGCCTGTTAGGGTCTGCTTCGTCGAAACTAGCATCTGGTTTAAGGCGAGCTTTATTGACCTCCGATTTATTATGGATCCTTTCTATTTTCTTCTCCTCCTTGTCTGGGTTTACAGTGTAATGTGTAGGCTCATCTTCACTGAGATTTGAGCTGGAGCTGGACATATCATCCCTCTTTTGTTCATTAGAAGTGGGTACAACAATGCGTTTTGAATCATTAAAAGAACCAGACACACTGCTGGACCTTGCCGATGTGCTTCGAGCAGAATCACTGAATTCAAATTGCTCTTCATTCTCCTGCCATAGTTCAGAGGGGTTGGTGTAATGTGTATTCGGTGACCAATCTGCAAATGGTTCTGAAGAAAATCCAGGAATTTCAATTGTGCTCTCTGTTGAAATATGTGGCCCTTCTTCACCTCTCTGCTGAACAGAGTCCTCTGACAGCTGAGAAGCCTTTGGTGTTGAGTGGTTTTCCTGGATCATTTTACGCTCATTAAATTCTTTGTCAGATAGTGAAGAATCTGAGCAAGATGACAAGCTTTTTCTTTTCTCCAGCTCAACAGGGTCTGTGATGGGTTCAAACTCCATGTTCTGCAGGTGGCCTTCAACATTGAGGTCTCCGTCATCTCTCTGGTTATCCTCTGAACTCCTCCGTTGTAAACTGTTTTCACTTCCTGAATCTTCAGCTGCATCCTTCTCAGCCACAGCTGCCTCACATTCAATCACTGCCTCATCATTGATCCTTTCCTGATTTCCACCGGCGACGGTATCATAATATTTTACATTGCCTTCTTCTCCTACGTCTAAAGTGCTAAATGTGACTCTCCTTTCCCTGTGTGTTTGCATTTGTTCTTGTTCCTCACCATTGGAGTAGGCCTCATTATCATATTGCCTTTGTTCTACAGATGAGACAGAGTTGGTTGCTGAGGATGTTTTCTTCTTGGTGACCCTACTCCAAAGCCTATCAATACAAGGTCTTGATAAGACTCCTAGGATAAAAGCTATCAGAAATGTGATGAAAACAGATAAACACACAGCTAAAGCCAAATTAGACTGCGTGGCTGTAAGATTCCTTTCCTGGCTTATCCCATTTTCTGTGCCTTGTTCGATTATTTGTCGGCTGGTTCTGGATAAACTTCTAGTTTTTCTTCTTGCACCTCCTATTTTACTAATTTGAAGGTTAAAAACAGACACAACATCATGTTCTTCAGACACACACACATATAGTCCTGTGTTTTTCTCTGTGATGTCATTGATGACAAGATGATGAGGTTGGCTCACAGACGCCTGACCACTGGGCGTCAACCATATTGAATCTGCAACAAAGACAATATTAACAGTTACCAGACTGACCTACATTTTCTTTAAATGTATGTGATTTACACTTTTTTGACTTTGTTACCTTGTGTAGCGCAAGACAGCAGTATCTCTGAGCCACTGTAGACCGTCACATCTTGGTGGAGCTCTGGCCTGTTTTCAGTACCAACACAGTTAAGGTCATCTTCCTCCAACTGTAGCAGGTTTTTTCCTGAGAGGATGGGGGGAGAGGCACACATCATGCTCCAGTTCTGCAGGCCTATGCTGCTGTCATAGGCCATCCGCCTTCTCAGACTGCGCATTCTGCAATCACAATGCCACCTGTTCCCATCCAGCCTAACATCCGCCCCAATGCTATGCATAGAAAGGTGAATCAAAGGATGGAGGCTGGTCAACATGTTGAAGCTCAGATCCAGGACCTTTTAAAAGGGACACAATTTAGACATAAAGTTGATGTTAAAACGTGATTATCCAAATAATCTCATTAAAAGCAACATTTTCTTTTTTTAGAGAATACAGACAAAAAGACTATGAGGCATCATTGAGATTATTGTTTGAATACCAAATTCGGTATATATTTTATATACGTTTGATTAAAAAGAATCATTGTTACCCGGAGCTGGGCTAAATCCTGGAACATCTGTGGATGGAGACTGCTGATGAGGTTATGTCGAAGTCGTAGCTCTTTTAACTGTTGAAGGTGGTTAAGGTCTGCTGGTCGTAGAGTTGAGATCCTGTTGAAGGAGAGCTGCAGAACCTGTAAGGACCCGCAACCTCCCAACCCTGAATCACAGAAACAAGAGCTGTAATAAGAACGTGGCATAACCATGATGTAGTGGCTAATGGAGACAGCAAGGAATGTGCTGTATGTTATAAGTTTTGAAATATGAATTGACATTCTTCTGGCTTAATTTCACGTTCACACTCTTACAGCATGACATATTATTGGCTATACGATTATTATTTGTACGGGCTCTTCTCTTTCTGTCTCCTCCTTCTTGCTAGACTGAGACAATCTCCCTTAGAATGCTGGCCGAAGTAAAGCACTGTGGGTCTGTGCTTCATTTGAGAGGCACTGCTGTGAGCTGAATACCAAACAGGAGAGAAGTCTATGACTTTCAACACAGCTCTTGCTAAGTGAATGGGCTGTCCACATATGCCTTTAAAGCACCCATAGTGAATGCAACTCCTTGAGTCACACATACAGTATGTTGAGCAACGCTCCAGGAATTCTATGATAGCATGATAGAGGGGGGAACTTATAAGATGTACTGCATGTTTACACCTTTCTTTAGCTGCTGGAATGTCAATAAAAGTGACAGGTGTACAGTGTCACTATCTTGGGAGGTTTAATCAGTTATGAGAGAAGCAAAGTACTAAAGAAGTTATAGTCTTATCTACGATTTGGACAAAGATTGCAGACCACCTTATAGTCTTTACAGAATTCGGTAAACAACATGCCTACAAGGGGGCCCTGCCTTTCAGCTCAGATTCATTGACATTTCTCAACCACGTTCCATAGGGCAATTACAGATTTGCATAGTGTTAGATTGTGCAAGTTCACTATCAGATGCATATTTATTAATTGGCTACTCGGATGAAGAATGTATTTATTCAGGAAGGGACATTCAAGTGTAATGTTATGTATTTGATCAAATGTATAAGATGGTGCAGGAAATAACCCATAAGCTACAGTATTACGAAAAGTAAAAAGGTAAAGTCATCAGATCTGTTCATGAAATATTGGATAGTTTTCATTATTTAAGTGACGCCATCGCAATGAAAAGTTTAGAGGCAAAAAACTCTTAACTCACAAGGGTCACAAGCCATACAAGCTGGGAGTCAATGAAAAAAAACAAGCAGCACACTATACTGCATGCTCAGAAGAACCACTTACATTGTGCTTCATGTAACCTTTATTACTCAAACACAAACATGTTCTGACAATACGGTAGTGATGGTTTAGCTCCATCAAGGTTGAAATTCATTCAGTGAAAATCTTTTTTTATCTCCAGTTTTCATACCATATAGAAACTTAGTATATGTTATGGTGGGTTCACATTATATCCAGACAATACACATGTCATACAGTTATTCAGCCTTAGAGCATGTAAATTGTGGTCTAATAGTAATTTAAAGAGACGAGGCAATATTGTGGACACTACACTGTACATTTCAGTAATTGGAAATATGAGTTATTATTCATATCTGTGGGCAAATCTATGGATTTTTAAGTATTCGTGTGTTATGATATGTAGCAGTATTTCATCTTACAGCTTTGAATAGTTTGAAAGTGTGTGAAAGTAACTAAGTACATGTATTCTCTTACTGATGTACAGAGGGCAGTATTGTACCTTGTATTCCACTACACCTGATGAACAGTGATTTTTGAATTAAGGTCAACATGCAAAACATATGAATGTAGATGATAAAACAATTATTGTTATTAAACTACCAAGATATATGGAAATAAATTAAATAATTTACATGACCCACTACACTTCACCATTCAAGTGTGCACACAAAATAAAAATAATAATCATAGCCATTAAATAATTATAGAAAATAATGGCTTATACTTTTGCCAATATTTCTTCCCTTTATAAAATGTATTGTCTATGCAGCTGTGACATGGTTTTATCATTTTTATGTATGGGTGTGTGACCATATAACTGACTCACCCTGTGGGAGTTGCTCTAGCTGATTCCTCTCAACAGATAGCAGCTGCAGGGCGGGGGCCCAGGACACACATCCCCATCCTCTCCAAGGTCTCAAGCGTTGAAGATGTCTTCCTCTGACATAACGGCTTCCACTCTCTACGCACAGAGACAAGTGTGCGATACTGTTGTTTCCCAGCCATACATTCCTGAGGTTATAATGTGGTCGGTCGAGTGTGACAGCGGCGAGGAGGTTATGAGATAAGTCGAGCTCAGTGACAGAGTTTTGGATATGTCGTGGCATCAAGGAAAGGCCAGCGGAGGAGCAGTTCAGCAGGGGAGCTCTCTGACAGGTGCAGGACTCAGGACAGGCAGGGAGGTGAGAGGAGACGAGGAGCAGTGAGGAGACGAGGAGCAGCAGCAGGGCCAGGGACGGCCCCTGTGCCACTGCCATCAAAACCTGACCCGAGAAGATACAAAGATCATGAGTGACAAAAAATATATATATATATGCAATCAAAAAGAAAAAACAACACACATTTAACCATAAGAATATGAAAAACAGACTGTCTTTGAATTATCATTAACTAAAGACCATTGCTTATAAGACCAACACATTAAAACTAACTGTCACCAATGGAACACATTAACTTCATGATATACAATAATATAGATTAAGTACAGTAACATAAATAGTAAATAGTCTTAAAACATCTAACTCACCTGTGTATTTACTCTTTGTCAGGCTGGCAGGAAAACTTGTGACTGTGTTTTCACACCCAGAGCTTCAGGTGTTTAACTTTGACCGTCTCTGGCAGTTCTGATCAAAGTCTGACGAATAGTTTGCTGCGTCGAGCTTAACGTGGACCTACCCTCGAGATGCCATTCTGTGATTCATGCAATCATTCACATGTCTAGTTAATATCTTACTATGATTGTTTTCCTCCTCATGTATAGTAGATAACTCCTGAGGGTTTTATGGCGAGTAGAACCCTGCCCCTGCTGTACATTTATTACATAATAAAACAGCATAATGAGGCACAGTATTCTTTTGTGGCTTTAAATGACCATATAAACACTTGAGGAATTTCCGGAAGACAATGATAAGAAGTTTCACATAGCAACACGTTTCTTTATTGAAACAAACATAGCAATGAAATGTTCAACATTTTATTTCAAAAATAAGGCTTATTGTTTTTGTGTTTGTTATTTTCATTAGTTGATCAATAACATGTTTTCTCACAACAGGCTCTGAGAACATTTCTCAACATCAGCACTTTTCTTTTTAAAACACAAGACAATCCAAAGCAAAAGTCAAATATTATATACTATATTGATCAAAATTCAAACCACTCAATAAAGCAAAAATGATTTAGACTTTCCTGTCATTCAATATTTTAATATATTTTTGTCACACAATCTCCCTCTGTTTTTAATATTGTGTTATTTTGCTTTAAAAAAAATAGAATATTAGATACATATTATATTATATATCATCCCTTTTAAATCCATTGGCACGTGCATTATCGACAGTCCCAGAAAGAGACCTTCCCTGCTGCTTTAACATTACTGGATGGCTTAAAAATGTTTCTTATGTTTTAGAGTTTATACCAAATGTAATTATACATATTGTCATGTAGTGTCTCACGCTTCTCAGTAAATATAATTTAACAAAATCTCAAACAAAGCTGCCAGAAACAATGAACAAATGAGCAAATACAATACCTCTACACGGTTTGTAAATTGGTAATACTGGGCGTTAAGGCAAAAACAAAATACTGCTGTTTCTCATTTCTATCAATGGTCATTGTAAACCACAATGTAATGAGTTATACTGAAAGGGCATAAATTAGGATACAGTTGGCCCATCTGAAAACCATTACATATGTTCATATCTTTGGCCAAGTGGCAATGATCTGTAACACAATTCCTGTTTGGCAACTAAAATAAGGAATACAGAATTTGACGGGTACACTGCAGAGGTATTACTAAGTCATGATAAATGTCCTATAGAATTTTCTATACACACAAATGTGTAACTTGACTTCAGTGGTGACAAAATGTAGACACTTGAAAGTAGACTTTAGCCATCTCTCCTACTGAGTTTTTCCACACGGGTTATCTGAAGTCTGGCAGCCCATGTTGGGATATTTCACCTGCACACGGAACAGAGTCCCATCTGCACACATGCAGAGCTTATACCGTTCCATGCCTTCATCAAAATACACATCTCCTGCAGAGTTAGGGATGCGTGAAACATTGAACATGACTGATCCATTCAGAATGATGCTGTTCTCCTGCAAAGAGAAAATAACACATGTATACAAACCATCTTTAAACCATATACATGCAAGAGTTTGCAAAACCTTTATTATAAAACCTGCCCTCCGTAACCCATGTCACAACACTCCATACTTACAGCCCTGAGCTCGATGCCTCCGCCCACTTTGAACTCTACAGTCCGGCCCATGATGTTGACGCCCTCGTTTCCTCGAATGATGGCCTTGCCGTCCCCTTTAATGTTCAGGTCAGAAGATGCACTACTGGTGATCTAAAATAAGAGACAAAATGAACACAACAGTCAAAAACAAAGGCAGTAACAAAAGTTGAATTGAACTATTATTGGTTGTTGTGTACTGATAGTATTTCACAACCTGGGCACAAACCAATACAAATAAAAACTATTGTTAGGCTGATATTACTTTTTTGTTATAGGTATTATAAGCATTATACACACCCTTTCGGTGGAAGCCTTTTTAACACTGAGAATTTTGACTCCTTTGGGCAAGTGGAACTCATGGTTTTCAAAGTCTGTGCTGAAGTACGTGTTCTGTGTCCGAGGGTCTGTGAAGGTTATGCCAACGTCACTAACGATTGAGGTCTTTTCTTTCTCCACACTCAGCTTAGTGGTGCCTTGCTGGAACACAACCTGAAACGACATGCATCAAATTAACGAGAAGCGTTATAAAAGTATGCACACAATATTTAAGCTTCTATCTTTTCAAATTGCTCAGTGTTTACTGTGAGTCTCCTCTGTGTTTCTTACCGGATTGTTGTTTCCAACGAGGACGAGGTCCTGGTCCTTGCGGCCCCCTACTGTGCTCTTGTGCAGTGGGTGAACGATGCCCATGTCCGCCTTCTGTTTGAAGCGCAGCAGTCCACTCTCATGGAACTCCATACTGTCACAACCATTCGGACCAATACGGATCACTGTCCATATTACCAGAGTGATCTGAGGGAAATAATGCAACAACACATAATGATATATGAAGCTCTGACAACTTTGTATCATATTTTTCAGTAGTGTATTCAAGACAATGCATTAGATTGACATTTGTATTGCTTACAATAAGGTTAATTAAGGCGAGGATGAAGAGGAGGATAACGATGCAAACAGCCATGTTTCCCTTTCGTCCTCTCAGTCCAGTTTTATGAAGACGTTCCTCTTCTATGGGTACATATCCTGCTTTGAAGTTACTGTTGTGTTCCTTGTTGATATTTCGTCTTTCTATAGCCTTCTCCCGCATGGACTTCTTCACAGGCCCATTTGAACTCTCCTGGAAAGGCAAAACAATAAACAAATCAACAAAACAACACTCAAATGTATAAAAGGACAGGCTGCTTTACCTACGCTGTGAACGAGACAACTGCAGGTTCTTCCTGCTGCTGCAGACTCAACAGGTCTGTCTACTGATTTTATTTAGCTTTTTAAAGTTAAATATAGTTATCATATCAAGCTATTTTTTGACTGATCGTCCTTGTTATTGCACTTTACTGCTGTCCCATGGCAAATGTCCACACTGTAGGGCTAATAAAACATTGTCTTATCTAACTTATAACACCCTCCACATAGATAGACCGGAATTGACCATTTAAAATCTAAATAGGCTACCCTCCAAGGCAAGATAATTACATTTCACACTTAGCATTTTATATTGTTTCCATGCGTTTCTCCCTGATTGGAACAGTTTACTCCACATTTCTTCTACCTACCTCTACAATCTTTAGGTTTGAGATGTTATCTCTATCAATTAGTACGATTTATCAGCCAAATTATGGTAAAATATTGGATGGTAGATACAAAATACCAATACAAATCTATCTAGCTATTTTGCAGGTGGACACAATGAACTCATTTTGATCCCTGTTTCCTATTTATCTCCTGTTTCTAGGCTCAGTGCTGGAATGCCTCTCAGTTAAATACCCCACGACTGCCTGTCTGTGGCCAGAACTAAAAATAAACTGCCCTCATTTTAGCAGCAATAAATAGAGGCAAGCCCGTGTGTCCTTATTAAGCAGCTTCTATGGCCTTTATTTTAGCAAAAACATCGATGCTGTTTACCAGCACATCGCTCACAATAGCGGCATTGTTATTCCCATGTAACGCTAGCTATAATAACGACACATATTTATAACACGTAGGGACGACAACAAAGCGGAATGCATTTATATTTATTACTCCGGGTCAATCGGGAACATATCATTGCCCTATTGGCAAACAACAAGCAATACACGTACTAAAATGCAAGAAAAACAACAAATATTGAAGAAAACGGACCTGTTCAGACGCCATGTTGACCCTCCCTCTCCTGCTTGCAGAGTGAATGGGACCGTACCACTTTTCACGGTCGAAAATAAAGAACGGGTATGTTGTGATATTATAACAGGTCGAAATAAGTTAGGGATAAAAAGGTTTTGATAAAACGAACATAAACAACCCTGTGCAATTTGTATTTGCATTAAGCGAGCTAAAAAGGGACGTTTATACACAAGTAAAATATGGTGCATTCCAAGTTCAACCATCCAATGAGAGAAGGGTCCCAAAATAGAAAAACATGTTCATTCATATTTTCCATAGGTAAAATGCCAAGCGGGCCATAACCATAGGCCATAACAGCGCAGCGCCGTATAGACGGCGCTGGGCCATAACCATAACACTGTCTCATCCAAGCTCCAACAATACATTATAAGCAGCATTTGGTACAAAGTAGTACATTGAACAAACAGTTATATTTCAGCTTAGGCTACATATTATTTGTTATTGAATCCTGCCTATATTGAAATAGAAACAGATTTATTTAGGGAATGGGTATACAGTTGATCTAATTTACTAATAGCTATACCTTAACATCTGCATATGCATTCGTCTGCTCGTTCAGGCTGAAATTACTGATCGTAATCATTTTTAATTAATGCTGCTTATATTTAGGTTTTTCAAAACAAGATATATGGTCTGGCAACAGGACCAGAGAGCTCTCATTATAATAACTAAATAAATGACATAAATAAATAAGGTAAAAAATAAAGAACGGTATAACATCCTAAATTATTAAAGTAAATCTGAAGGTTTATTTAAAATAAATATGCACATAAATAGAAAAAATAATCTAATTCATAATTGTATTTAAATTAATAAATTCAATTAATAAATTGGTTTTACATTCTCATTTTTTTGATAACATTTCTTTGTTTTGAGCAACATTATTTTCTTATTAGATTTTTTGAAATGCAAAATAAATACATTGTTTTCAAAGAACGTGTTCAAATGACTTGGATAAATTATGCTTATATTTTTTACATCTCTTTTACATTATGTAATCCATTATCATGACAGCCCAACCATAGAGCCCAACACTAACTGCACTGTTAAATCATATTAGTCTCATGTATGTCCTACACTACAGTATTATAATCGGATTAATTTCAACACACACACACACACACACACACACACACACACACACACACACACACACACACACACACACACTGGCGGAAACATCAGCATTCTGTGTTACCGAGCTACAGTTCACCCTGTAGGCCTTTGGTGTCGTTTGACAGTATGACATTACAATCGTATTTACACCCCGGCAGAACAGAGCCTACAGAGGAGAGACAGACAGCAGTGCTCCTAGTTTCCGTCAGGAATTATTTGTATTTAAAGTGGTTTGTTTTCAGGTTGTCGCCTACAGTCTCGTCTCCTGGTTGCCACAACTGAAGCGGCGCTTGGCAGCACAGTCGTAGGTGGAGAAAAGCTGCCAGGAGAGGAATTTTAACTGCATCGTGTCCTCCTGCAGGAGCATTTTAAAGCTCCCAGTAGGCTCATTAGGACGGACATGGCCGATACTTTGAGGAGACTGACCCACACATCCCCTTTCAGCGTCCTGCAGGACAAACTTGAGAGCTGGCACAGAGATTACCATGTAAGTTTATCAATAATTAAAGACCAACGACCTAAATCTGACCAAAGCAGTTCATCTGTTGCACCGTGTTTATGTAATGCATTAGAGGCTATAAGTCAAATGTGTGCACATTTATAATGTAGGGGTTAGTCAAAGCGTTGCAGAAACATTATTTCCTGGTATAGATGATTATAAATTGCTTTGCTTACTGCTATAAATTGGTGATTTGTCCACTATCTCGATTTGTATATACTTTTTATTCGGCTATTTTTATTACGGGCAATGCCATGGAATGCAGTGGTTTGGATGATGCATGCATTTATTTAAAAAATACCACAACAAAGGAATGCAAAGCTTGTTTTAGATGACATTGATTTCCCGGTTGAGTTTGGTTGCTATGGACGCCGGTTGCCCTGGCTACAGGTTGACTTTTCCGAAGAAGTTTTTCTGCTACGATGGTTCACTTCCTGTTACTTCCGGTAGAAATCCGCTGGGTGACTTAACCATAGATATATATATCTATGGGCTTAACCACCATAGATATATCGGTTTAAGGTGGCAGAGGTACCGGAAGCGGCTTTTAATTATTTGTATTTAGGGTTTTTTATTTAACTAATGCCACACAATTTGACTTCAGGAAATAATGTGAAAAATCCATACAATTAAACATCCAAGGGGGTTAGCACAAAATGGTATGGAAAATAAACAAAAGAAAAACTAAATAAAATAAAAGATTAATAATAAAATATATTAATTGTAAACAAATTATATTTGCTAAATATATGAATGTGTAATATAAGGAGTTTTTATTTATACCTATGAAAGAACATTCTAGGAAAAGGTATTCATCATTCCTGTTGTTTTTATTGAAACAATTATACAAGGTTACAACACAAAATCTTGTACAGCAAACAGTGGCGTTATACGTTTTAACAGTTATTTATACAACAATAATTGTTCATAAGGACATAATACTGTATATTAAGCTACAAAATAAAATATACAACAAAACAGCCTATATACAGTAGCTGCTGCCTGTTACATTTTGCAATTTTAAATGCTTCATGCTTTTAAATATTTGATTACATTAATAAAAAACTAGCTGATTAGTCATTCTCCTTGTCATCTTATGTCTGAAATGAACTTTACTAACTTCACGTTGTCTAGTTCATTAGCCTATTGTTTGTCATTTTTGTCCTCCCAGGTTATTTCCTGTGACAACAATCTAAATAGATGCTGTGAACTGATTGAACTAACCGCAAAGGTCCAAGGTCAACTGTTTACCATCCTTAACCACACAGCTGCTGAAGGTAGGCTATATATTGGCAGTAGTAAAACACAGCAGTATAGCATTATCCCTCTCATTATAACAAGCAAGCTATTCTTCACACTCGCTGGTTTTACACTGATGAATCAGGTGGACACTATGCTGGAGTAGACACTCTCAAAACTCGCCTGCTGCCGTGGCTTGGAACCTGTTTCTCCATGGCCAGGCCCGTGGTCTCTGATGACACCAGTCTGCAGCTCTTCCAGGTGACAAGCTTTTACTTTGCTTATTATAACAATTTTATAAGGAAATCCATCAAAAAATAATCCAGTGTAGCACACAGTGTCCAACAAATTACAATGAGTTCTCTTCAATATGTACATCTCCAGTTGTGGTAACTGTATAGCATTTGTTTTGATCAGGATTCAGTTGAAAAGGACCGAAGGATCAGGGAGCTCTCTGCCTCCCTTGACAGTGACATACAGAGGAAGGACACCGAGCTGTGCTCCACTCGCCTGCAGTTGGACTCCATGAGAGCAGAGTGAGTCCAACAGATATAAGACAGCAGAAGCAGAGCAGTCATTCAGTTTCCTTCTTCAACTAGCATGCCTCTGGTTTAAATGCATTTGGATAAAAGTCCATGGAAAATTGGGATGTATATCATCTCATTTTTTTATCTCTTCAGATTGGTCGATACTCAGCAGGAACTGGATGTCACAAAGAGAGAGTCAGCAACTACTCTGCTGGCAACTGAAGAAGAAATATTGCAACTGAAAGCAGAGTGGGTGGTTCACAAAAAATAGTGCCATGATCTATTTGCTCTCAAGTGAAATATACATGATGTGCTACTTTTCTTGATGTGAAGCGTGTCTTTTTTTCAGTTTGAGATCCGCACATGAGCAAGTGGAGAGTTATCAAAGAAAGATGGCGGCCTTCATTGATTATGAGCGGCAGATTCGCCTGCTCAAAGATGAAGTGTCTTACCTGAGCACAGACAAGACCGTGCTGCAGGAGAGGTAAACATGCCATCAGTGTATGTGCACGCAGACACCACTACACAGAACTGACTTGAATGATAACGTTTCTCTTCTGTGTTTCAGGTTGGTGAGGAGTCGTTCTCCGAGCCCCTTGCCGAGGCTCAGTCGCTCTTCCAGCCCGATGAGGAGCGAGTCGCCCACCAGAGCGCAGCTCACCAACTCCTCCCGCTACGCACGCCTCATATCACGCTTCAATGACCTGTACGCGGTGGAGCGGCTGGAGGCCCAGGTCATTCTTCGACGCCACATTGATGACGTGGAGATGGTCCAGAAAATCATCTTCATTGCCGTCGTGGTATGACTGAAATTGTTTTAGAGACACGTGCAGATCAGAAGAGCATGCAGAGAAGAGAGTGCCCTATCTGTTTAAATTGACTTCATATGTGCTTGATTTCATCAGGGTTAATTATGACTCATTTATATTTAGAGCAATTTATTTTTAAATATCTTGTTTTTTGTCACCATGTCTCAGGAATCCTTTAAGACAGCAAAACTGGCTTACCGTCAGTTCAAGCTACGAGTGAGAAAGACATTGTCCCCGCACTTTGGGTTAGAGTACCTGGAGGATGCAGCAGTGGACTACATCGTCAGAAACCTGGACCTCTACGACATTCAGGCCAGCATCAATGTAGGACTAAAGCCTTTATGTCTACTCTTTGCAGCATTTATGGACAAACTATTATGTTACTAAAACGTACGAGTCATCTGACCTTTGTGTTTCATTTCTCCCCAGGATGTGATCAATGCCATGAATGTGAACCCTCGGATCTCTTTTCCGCCAGAGGTGGACTTTTTCCTCATCAGTACCTTGATCAGGGAGATGTGCAGGGTGGCGTTTGCCATGCAGACACTGGAGCCCCCGCTTGACTTTTCCTTTGCCAGCGATGGAGAACTTTACAACGACCGCAAGTCAGTCCTTTGTACATTACTGTGTCTAAATTACAGTCTGTCTTTTAACGGAATGCTCTACAAGTGTTCAAGTAACATGTGATGCTACATGACCTGTAAAACATGGCCAGTATATTCCTGAGGTTATTTGCAGTCTCTACCAGTAGATGTCGCCCTCACACACATCAATTCTCACAGCTCTCCCTCTTTGTTCCACCTCTTCTCTGACTGACAGGTATCGCCGTAGCTATGACTCTGAGCTAACTGCTCCTCTGGTGATGTACCATGTGTGGCCTTCCCTGTTGGAAGGAGATGCTGTGGTAGTGAAGGGCGAGGCTGTGACAAGAAGGGGTGCTGTGGTACTGACTGTATAAAACTTCAAAAATATAATTCATTTGAGTGTTCTCTGGAGAGTAAGGCCTCCCTGAAAGCTCAACATAATGTTGTGTTTTCTTGTGGTACATCTGTTTTTGCAGTGGAGTAGAAGCAGGAGCACCAGCCCCGTGCGCTCTCGCTCACTCAGCCCAACTCGCAGTCTTGTAAGTCTCTATAATCTTTGACAGTACAACCAAACACACAGAGCCATAAACACCATTTGGGGTTTTGTTCAAGAAGATTGCATTTTTTGTCTGGTTCAACATTCAGCTTGATTTAAATCTCAAATGTATCATTATTCCTATTAAACATGCATGCAAACCCATGGATTTAAGGGTATGAACTTCAAACCCCTTTCAATTTGAATTTATTTTCTTTAAATGTAACTAAATTGTTGAACGCTTCATTAACAATACTATGTTTTTTTAGGCCTTTCTTAAAAAAAGAAGCCTGTCTCCTGGACGTCTCAGAGCGAGTCACCTGTGATCTCCGACCTCTCTAAAGTATTATTATTTGTATATTCACACTTGTGCTCACACCAAATAAAGCAATGAATTCCTCAGAGACTCAACCACCCAAAGGCTTTGCAGAGTTTACAAATCTGGGGCATTTTGATTGGACTTTGAGGTACATGATGTCAGTACCTGTAGATTATAGATAAAGCAAAAGCAGTGTGGCAGATTACTGAGCATTCGTCTTAATTGACTATATTAACTCTAAGATAGTATTAACAGTATTTTATTAATAGTTAGAAACCTTAAAGTGCATTTTTCAGAGGGAAACTAGTCCTGCAGCACTTTCTTTGCCTTACAGATGCATTGAGAAAAACATATTCAGCCTTTACTCCTCTCTTTGCTTTTGACCAAAAGTCTAAGCGAAATTCTTTAAGCGTATTGCAGGACATATGGTGCTTATGACCGGTGCTAACTCCTCCAGTACTTGAGTGACAGATTATTGGTTCTTGTGATTTTTTGTGTCAATTGTTGCAGTGTTTTTTTTACTTCTTATTTTCCTCTTTTGGTGCTGCTTTGTATTCTGGACTTTTGTTTGAGATAAATGAATAGTAAAATCATATGTTTATGACAGGAATAGCGTTAGTTATTGTGAACAAGAATAGGACCGGTAGCTAGTCAGCATGAATTCAATATGACACTTATTTAACATTTACAACTTTTTATCTCTTTAATCGATTAACAAATATAGTTGATACAGTTGAATTAATACATGTTGATTTCACTATGATTTGATTTGAGTTGTTTGACGACTATATGTATAGACCGTGCCTTTTGTGATTGATTGCTTTTTTAAAGATGAAATGACAAACCTTTAGTTTCCTGCAAAGGCTGTTTTTTTTTTGTTAATTCTGTCTTTTTTTTGCTATTGATTATTTGTTTCTCTGCAGCCTTACACTGTTTCTTGTATTTTGGCTCTCAAAGGATTGAACTTTAGTTATTTTCCCAAAATTTGCTGAATAATTCCCCCAATTTACGTTTTTCTGACAAAAAGAGTACTACTACCCTGTTGTAACATTAGATGGTGCTGCTGCTCCATCATGAATGTGAGCCCACTTTGCTAAATGCACTGCAGTGGTTGCAGGGCAGAGACTCTGCAGCTTAACTTTCTGAATAGTAACTTCATTAAAAAAAATATGTAGCCTACCCCAAATGGTATAACTTGACGTCACTATATGTGAAACATAGACTGCTGTGAAAAGAAATGTTACAAACCTTAAAGTTTATCCTGATAGGACTTTTTATAATATGCTTTGAGCCATCTTAGGCACTGGGCCTCATTCATGTGTGCCCGTGCACCAGTATGTTGACATTTGAATGAAATTCTTAAAGGAATCCCGGCAGCAACGTCATAGTGATGCCTTTCAAAGTTATTTTAGCATTTTTAGCCGCCTAATTAGCTCTGTAGGCCTTGCCCGGGACTGCACCCACATGCCCCACCAGGCAAACAAATTATGCTGCCAGCTCTTCAGATCATTATATGTAAAATAATTTGCTTCGCGGAGCAGAAACTGAGCTCTGAAAGGCCCCTGTGACCTCTGTGTCGTTAAAAAAACTGTCTTGACGGGTTCTCACATTGACCAATTCTGTAGTCAGTAGAAGAGTTATAGTTGTGTTTTTATTGCTGCCTAGGATAATTTAGCAAAAAATACGATTTTTTTAGAGGATTATTATATATATATATATTATTATATTAAGCTCAACAGTACGTCTTTCCTGGTACTGATAAAAGCTAAACTTGTGGGGATTTGTGTAAAGAATCGTAAACAATTGAATATCATATTATGCTTTTACCCACAGAGGGCACAACTGTGTTGAACTCGAGTGCCAATGCAGTTTAAACATACAAACCCCAGACGGACCTAATTGCCATTTCTCCAGCTGCAGCAATCCAAAATTAAAGTGATTTCTCACAAAAATATAAAAAAATAAAATCCTTTGTTAACCTTTAAATGAGCAATAATGGGACCCTAAGAGAAGATATTTGGAAAAGAAGAGTGTATATGCAGAAACGCATGTCATGGAAACTTCCGCCATGCCTCCTCATCGCACACAATGAGCTACTTGTCCGATGTGCAGCGGTTCAGAGGGGTCCTGGCTCCTGGGACAGAGGGCAGGTCCTGCTGCCATGATACAACTGTGATGGAGCCTGGAGTCTCTGTCTGAACTCAGTGGGAGGGTATTTACTCAGGTGTGTTGTGGTCAACTGTGGTCACGGACAGGGCGACTGCAGAGAGTGGTTGATGGAGATGAGAAAGAAGAAAATGATTGTGCTGTCTCTTCTATGGGCACTAATGCAATGAAACCCCCTTCTTGATGTCACGGCACTTCAATACAGACAAAGGATTTCCATTTGACAGAAAGATAGAGGATTTAGCTTCCACAGCCAGATTCAGCTGTATTCTGGTAGCAAAACTGCATTTCAGCAGGAGCTAGACGTGAAATCTTAATTCATGGCCCCAAACCAGAGACAGTAGTAGCTGGAGCTCACCCTAAACAGACTGAAGAGCTGAAAAACCCATACGTTTCCAGTTTGGTGTCAGAAGCCTGACTCAGTGCTGCTGGACCGTGTGATATTTCCTCAGGACGTTCTTAATGTGCTCAATGCTGGCAAGAGCTGTGTCTCTGGAGCTTGAGCATGATGAGTACCCGCCCTGATCCCACAGCTAGACCAGGGAATTATTAATCGAGCTGTATATCACGGCACATGATGACATGGTTATGTGTGACCAGGCTGCAGCGCATAAATCAAATGCTATATATTAAAAAAGAGAGAAGAGCAAATGAAGAAAATCAAGGTCAGAGCAAAGTTCATGTGGCAGGTGTTCTCTGAATAAAGAGATTTTTATTTCCAAACAATGTCCAAACATGGATACTTGTTACTAATCACCAGCCTGCGATTGTTGACTTTGACTTTCCTCTAATAGGGTCACAATTCAAAAGAGGAGTCAATGAGCCACTGCAGATCAACGAGGCCTCTGTTTATCCAAGAGAGGCAGTAGGGTCTGTGGCTCAGAGAGGCCGTTAAACACATCTGGAATGGAGAAGGAGGCAGGTCTTGCACAGGAGGACCTTACGATTTATGACAGTCGGGACAACACGGAGGTAGAGAAAGCACATTCATGACTTCAGCTTCATACTGTACTAGTGCAATGTTGTGTGTGACTGATTGTCAGTGCACCATATGAACAGAAGGGCCCCACCCTCTGTACTCTGAGCCGTGCTGGAACACCCAAGGGTTATTTCCTTGGCACTAACGAGTGTGTGAGGTCATAGCGAGGACTGGCTGCAGGCATCAGCCCAATAGGTGCTGGGGAGCAAACAGGCGTGACTGCAGATCTTCTCAGTCGCAGTGAAATCAGACATCAAGCGACCACATCTTCTGCCAGAGATACCACGGATAAATACTTCCTTCCTCTCTCTATGACGACGACCATATCAAATAAAGAAAAACGACTTCGATTTTGGACTCTCTTTTTCCCAATGCAGACATTTGTCCAGACTGTTTCCTGTTCCTACTCTGTCATCCGTTGCACATCTGGGCTATCACATTTGTAACGGTTGATTAGGAATATTTGAAAGCCAAATGATTTGATAAGTTGCCTTCAGAATAGTCTGTTTCAGACAAAGGTTGCCGGATAATGAGTAATGAACTTGGGACTTCTTCACATAAGCAGCCATGGCGGTAGATGTAATGTCTCAATGATGGAGTGGTGAAAACATCCAGCTCTGCTTAAACAGTATTATTCCTCTGATGAGCAGAACAGACCTGGCCTGGTAATCATGTGCCCTGCCTTCTCGTAAGAGGCGCGACACAAAAGCAGAGTCAAGGAAAAGGTGATTTGGGTCGTTATTTTCCACAGGTTTTTTTTTTTAACACATCATCAAAGCCTCAAAGGCTGTTATGACCTTTTCTCTTTTTTGTTGAGGAAAGGGGAGATCAACTAGATGTCAATGGGATTTGAAGGCTCTGCTCTGCTTGGCATAGAGATGACAGGTGGAAAAACCCCCACAGCTGCAGAGTAGAGATGTCAATCTGAGCTTTAATTACATGGTTTGCTTTGTCAGGAGGTGCACTGTGGTGAACCTGCTTCTTGTCCTAAAAGAGGGAGCTCTTACTGGATGCTAGAAGGCTCCATGTAAAGCACATCTGGATGATGTGATTAATGGGAAAAACAGCCAACCATTTACATTACACTGTAGCACTGGCAGGGCAAAGTGCCGTGGATGCAGGTGTGAGTCTCGTAGGTTACTGCTCCACTGGGGCTTGTTACATTTAGCTTGGATTTGATACTCTCACGGAAACAGACGATCAAATCTGGCGCCAATCTCGTGTGCGACTGGCTTCGGCACAGAACACCCCCCACCCAGAACAGGGATGAAGGAAAGGAACATTTTGGGGAGAGAGAAAGAAAAACTAAAGATTTGAGAGCTGAAATAACAACGGGCTTACATAGAACATGTAACTATTAAATATATGGAAACTTTCTTGTTTGACCTCCATGAGTGCTGAGTCTCCACAGCTTCACTTACACTGAAGGTTTTCAAAGAATCAACAAAGTAAAGAGGTTATAGAACATGCTACAGAACAATGAGACTTTTTGATTTAAGTTCAATTTGATTTGCTTTGTTTTATTAATAATGTGAACAGTATTTACATCTGACTTTTCAATCTCAGTACTCTGTCTTCTATTTAACAACAGTAATGAAATGTAACCACTAGATGGCAGTTTAACACAAAACAATGGTCAGTGTCTTGCACTTTCTTACAGAGAAATGCACTAGGTGGAAGAAGTACTCGGATACAAACAAATTGCACCCAAAGGAAAAGCACACCATTATTACCAGCAAGATTTACTAAAAGCATAAAAGAAAACATAAATGCATAAATAACCCCTTTTAGAGTGTTATATATTAATCTTATGCATCAGAATCAGAATCAGAATACCTTTATTAGTCCCACAGAGGGGAAATTTGCAGCGTTACAGCAGGAAAGAGCCACAGACAGCTTAGTGTTGCATATCTTCATGCGTTAAAAAAGTACTAAGTTATAATATAAAAAAACAATGTGCTAAAAAAGTACTAAGTTATAATATAATAAACAATATGCTAAAAGAAAAAAAAAAAAATTAAAAAAGTTACATAATTTTCAAAAATACAGATAAAAAACAAATCAAATCTACAAATCAAATCCTGTAGCAGTTCTTAGGATTTAGCAGCCCGGTATATATTACAGTTATTAAAGATGGCATATGTATATAAAGTATAAATTGCACATAAAGCACATATTGCACACAGTTTGACGGTATTTAACAGCAGCAAGTTACACAATTTACAAAATACAAGATACACACCTTGTAACAGTAACAAGGGTTTAGCAGCCAGGTATAAATAAACATGTAACTATGATAAAATGTAAGAGATGGTAATTTAACCTATTCATATATTAGGTTATATGGTATTTTGTATGTTTAATCTTGACTTGTACCAGAGAGAAGAAGAGCAAAAATAAGTAGAAGTTTCTTAAAAAATGAACAGTAGTAAGGTAACATGACTTTCCACCACTTTAAATGCAATGCTTACAGTGAGCTCCCCCCCATGAATAAGCTTGTCGGGAACTGTTCAGGTAACATGTGAACTTGCCAAGTAGATGGACAAACATTATCCAGCTGATCTCCTATGATATACTGCCTGTCTGCCCGGGGCCCTGTCAAGTGCTCCTAACAAATGCCTCTCTTTGTTGCCCAACGCTCAATCCCCAAGAGGGGGCAGATAGATACATTATGTTCTAGACTAGAGTACGACTTGTAGGAGGGCTGTGTTCCATTCTTTTGAGGAGCCAAAGCAGATTTTGTGTTGATCAAAAAAATAAAGTGAATAT